ATGAATACATGAATACATACATACATACATACATACATACATACATACATACATACATACATATACACACATACACCGACATATGCTTCTCAACACATATGTAACATCATATGTCAAATGGCACAGATACGTAGATTCGACAAATTTGTGGACACAAACCCGGGGCACGAAAGCTCCTAGGCTTTTGCGGCCTGCGACTGCGTCTTCGGTCTTTGGGGTCTTCTGCTTTCAGGCAATGGCAAGGCTCCAAGAGCGCTTGCAGGCTCATGGACACCATGTTAAGTCGGGCCGAAGCCTGCTCCACCACACCGACTGCGCTTGGAAACCCAGATGCACAGCATGCGCTGTAGACACCGCAAAAACACGGGCTCCTCCTCCTGCGACGGGGTTCTCAACGCAACCCGTTCACGACATGGAGCCCAAGCACAGACACCGTGAACACCCGCACCCCTAATTATTCAAAAAGAACCCACCACAGAAGCAAAAGCTCAACGCAAAAAGAACTGGCCCTGCTGTGTCGGCTCGTCTTCGTGCCGTGCAACAGATGCATGCACATCTGCAAAAAGCATCTCCGGGAGAACCCCAAAAGAAAGCGAAGGCGGAGCACTCCCCCCAAAGGAAGCAGATCGCTGCGTCCTCGCCGGCATAAGGCAGCTTCACATCCAGCGCCTGGCTTTCGGAAGACCAGAAAAAGACATCCCATCTCAGGAGATTCTGGCTGACAAGGGTGGTCTTTCCGGAGATACGGCTGGGGCATGCTGGGGCTGTCGGGCTTGAGCTCCGCCAGGTCCTGCCTGGCCTTCAGCAGGTACGAGTCGTAGATCTGCATCGTCACAGTCCTCGGCTTCGCATCCTCTCGCTCGGTCTCAAAGTCGAGATCCCCTAACCCCCAAAGCCCACACCTTCGAAACGCAGTGTCCAGCTTGTCAGACTTTCCCGGCTTTCCGGTTCCCAGACCGGCCCTGCAGAAGATTCTGAGATTGTAGCATCTGCGGCAGCGACAGCGATGGATCTTCAGACTTGCCCAATCCAAGCCCACGCAAAGAACACCCGGCACAGGCTCCGGATGTCTCCAGGATAGTGGGTGAAGAACCTGAGATCGTCGAGACCCATGGCGCATGGCACCCGACCACCACTCTGGTGAGGCCGCTAACACTGCGCACACCACCACCACCGCCACCACCACCACGACCGCTACTTCTTCTAGTTCTCTTCTGATTCTTTCCTACTGGAATCCAGGCCGCGCGAAGCGGGGTAGCGCCGATGGTCTCGGGGCCGTGGGCGAGGGCGCCGGCGTGCGATGGAGCAGGGTAATCGCCTAGCCCAGGGCAGAGTCATGCACGGCCAAAGTTTCAGGATTCATGTTGGCACCGCCGTTTAACAGAGGTTAGGGTGCAAGGAGCCGGACGGGTCCTCGAATATGAAGACTCCGGCTCAGTCTCGCGCGAGACTTGACTGCCCACTCGAATATGCTCAAACCGGCACAGGAATGAATGGCATGCGCAGGCAGTCTGCCGAATGAAACCTGATCCCTCAATTCTTTAACTGCTACGCATACGCTGTGCAGCAGAAAGTATCATCACACGTCTACTGCTACGCATCCTACACGTGCGTCAGTGTCAAGAAACCTGTTCAAAATGTCCTGCAGGAGAGAATCAGCTGAACAGCCGACGGCTAACAGGGATTGCCTCAGAGGGCCCCAGAACTTCGAAGCCTGCGTGAACTTCTGCAGCTCGCGGCTGGTCTCATGCGCTGCATTCCCGAAGCCCCAGACCAGCACCGAGCGATTCCTGAGTTCTGAACTTTCAGCAGTCTCTCGAGTTCGGCTAGGCGGGGCTAGGCACCCCAACAATCACGCATTTGGGGTATTGAAGTCAAGGTTTCAACTCTCGGGACTTTGACAGGCTTTGTTTGGCTTTGCCCGGCTTTGCAAAACGGAACTGCTGACAGCTTTGCGCAAGCTTCTCAAAGGCCTGGCCAGTCTGCGGCAGGTCCTCGTAACCGGTCAGGAGCTCCTGGCTTCTGAAAAGGGATTCCTCGCACTCTCGCGCCCCCACCGAAGTGCACTGTGACCAGACCAGTCCGGTGGTCTCACAAAGAGCACGCTTCACTGTTCGGCTCTAGGTCTATGGTGCCTGAGCCTGAGCGAAACCGGGAGCCAATGAGCTTCTCAACCACACTTTAGGCGACTTTAGGCATTGTCAGGGCCAGGGGTTCTTCGCACTCCACGGAGCGCTCCTCTCCGATGATGTTACTCGGCCTGTTGGGCTGCAGCCCTGTGGCGAGCACCTTTGCTGGAGCTTAGCCACTTCTGAGCCATGAGCACACCGAGAGCTTGCATTTCACTTAAGCCTTCCCGGGGCCGCGGTCACAGAGCTCGTCAAGATAGCGAGCAAGAAAACCGCTCCCGGGGCGCCAGTCCGCCATGCTCAAAAAGCGGATCATGCCGGTGTGACATGGATGCGTTGGGTTCTCTACGTGAACCCCCAACTCTCCACGGAAGCCCCAGGCACCACGCGGCCACACCGGTGTCGCGCCGAACCCGCGGGGCCCGCAAGGTCCTGGTACCGACCATCCAGGACAATTATCGCAAATTTGAAGGAGGCAATAGTTCAAACCCTAGAAGAGTCGACCGCTTGGGGATGATGGGTAAGTCGAATTGCTTGCAAGCTCGCACCACTGCTCAGTCCGAAAAGGTCCGAAAGCACTGGCGCGGTCCAGTTCGAAGTGTCTGCTGCTCGTCGGGGAAATCTCGCGGACCTGCCGTCATTCAATCGACCCAACGTTGTGCTTTGCAGCACGAGTTTTGAGTCCAGGGTTCGAGCAGATGTGTGCATGCTGGCGGGGAAGCATGAAGGTGCATTTAGAAAATGGTCGAAGTGTTGAAGATGACCTTCCAAGCGGTCTCCAAGCCCTTGTTCTGCAAGGTACCCCTTCTTGTCAAAACTCTTCAGCTGCTGGCCTGGCCTTGGTGTTGTATTGAATCTTCTTCCGGAGGTGCTCCCCGAAGTCCTCCAAATACCTAAGTGCAAGCAAGGCAGAAGGATTCGGAGGGCCGTCGTGAGGGTGAAGTCTCGAAATCACTCAACCAGGCCTCTGCATGCTGACACGCAGAACACCTTTTTGACAGGAGCCTACGATCTTTGCAACAAGGAGCCAAGCCCTGGCCCTACCCGCCGATGCACATTAGGGTTTAGGCGTTTAGGGCTTCGGGTTCAGGGTTCTAATGCGGAGAGACCTCTGTTCTGGCCGAAGATTCTCGAAGCCATCTGTGCACTGGAGTTCAGGGACCCCGAAACGATAAAAACCGCCGGGCAGCTGGGCGAGGACGTCCGCATGCGGATAGAGCTCGGAGGTTCTTGCCTTAGTACCCGCCATGTGTTGTCTAAGGTTGTGTCAAGGGTTGAGTGTTTCGGGTTTTGGATGTTTTTGAGCGTGTGGGGTTTAGGATGTAGCATTTTCGAATTTAGCGTTTAAGGTTTGGGGTTTCGTGTTTAGGCTTGAGCCAAAGCCTCCCGTCAGCCTAAGATCCAAACATTCTTCACCACACCAGGACTTGTGCCAAGGATGCTTCGGGCAGCCGAGGCACTGTCACAGGCGAAATCCTTGCATCACCTGCTCTGGGATAAGCTAGCGGTTCAGGGGTGCAACAATTTCTTCGGCTCTTCTGTCTCGATACCTGATCCAGAAAGCACGACCGGGGGAGAAAACGAACATGCTGTTGTCTTGTTTCGTTTCGTTCCGACGAGCCAGGCAATCAAGCTTGCATGATCAGCGGCAGGCCTGTCCCGATCAGGGAGTTCCAATCGTGCCGCATTCGAAACTCTGCATTCTGGACTCTGGTGTGCCTTTTGTTCAAGCCTCAGGTGCCATCTCGCTTCGATTCCACTTCGAGCCTCAAACAAGTATGGCTCTTCGCCAAGATGCTGATGAGCATCCGGTGAATCGGAAAGCGCCGGAAAAAGCTGCCTGGAGAATCTGCCTTTTCGAAGATCACCTCGTAACTGCAAGAAATGTTAAAGACATGCATCACATTTGGGCCCATGCCCGTGCCGGATTCGGCGCCTGAGGTGTGAAACTTTCAGCGACAAAAACACATGTTCGGGACATAATGCCGAAAGTAAGTGGTCAAGACAAGCTGCGAAATCGCCCAGCGGCGACATGTCCTGCAAGTACCAGAGGTTCGTTGGTTGTCTTCGCGTTGTTGTTTTTCGTCGTTAAGGTCGTGGAGCAGTCGTGGTGGTGGTGGTGGTGGCGGCGGCGGCGGTTGCGGTGGTAGTGAAAGAGGAAGAGGTGCAGCACAGCAGCAGCCGTAGCAGTGAAGCAGCCGCGGCAGGAGCAGCGGCAGGAGCTGTAAGCAGTCGCAGTGGCAGTGGCAGTAGCAGTAGCAGTAGCAGTAGCAGTAGCAGTAGCAGTAGCAGTAGCAATAGCAGTAGCAGTAGCAGTAGCAGTAGTCAAAGGATACCCACTGTAAAACTTTGGAATCCGTGCACCA